AAGTAGTAGTAGCATGACAACCTAAAAACACAAACCCCATTGGAAGATATTTGTTTTGGTCATTGCTTTCAAAGAATAATCAATTGAATGCATCTAAGTAAGTAAAGGAGAAAATCAAGTAAAATTTTTACTTGGAATGAAAAGAAAACTAAAAAGCATAAATAAGTAAACAACTTACCTTGAAGTATGTTGAGAGAAAAGTTGGTGACAAAAAGAGCACTTGCCGGACTCATAGGAGAAAAAAAAAAAGGCTGAGTGGATGCAACGGTGACTCGATAAGACTAAGATTTAAGTCTGAAATAATGTTAAAAACTAAAGAGAAAAGGTGGAGTCGAAGCTTGAAAGTCAAAGGCTGTATGAACTTTGGAGGTTGAAGAATATGAGAAGAGTTTGAAGTTTGAAGAATTAGAGTCTTCGAGAGTATTAGAGCAAGCAAGAATAGGAAAGGTCGGAATGTGAGTTATGAGTGGAGTGGGATTATTTTTACTTTTAGAAGATGATGAGTCAAGAGAATCAATTAGTTAATTAGGGAATATTAGTAAATTATTAGAGGTTTAGGTGGAATTGGGAATTGGAAAATAAAATAAATAATAATAAATTAAAAAAATTTATATTTTTAAACGGATAAACGGGCAAAACCCGTTAATCTGATGGGTTAACCCGTTATTAACCCATGATTTGTTGGGTCCTCTTAATGGATTATTAACGGGTCACAGGTCATAAATATATGACCCTAGCCCGTTTTAAACGAGCAGGTAATTGACAGGTTAACGAGTTGAGTAAAAAATTGCTAGGTCTATTTCTAAAAAATGATGAGTCAAGAGAATCAATTAGTTAATTAGGGAATATTAGTAAATTATTAGAGGTTTAGGTGGAATTGAGAATTGAAAAATAAAATAGATAATAATAAATTAAAAATTTTTATATTTTTAAACGGATAAATGGGCTAAATCCGTTAATCTGATAGGTCAACCCGTTATTGACCCGTGACTCGTTGGGTTCTCTTAACGGGTCATTAACGGGTCACGGGTCATAAATATATGACCCTAACCCGTTTTAAACGAACGGGTAATTAACGGATTAACGAATTGAGTAAAAAATTGCTAGTTCTATTTGTGAGGGTGGTTTTGAAAAATCTATCCACAGACTCATAGTCACTATGGATGATGCGAAATGAGAACAGATGAGCTTCTTAATTAGTAAAATTTGAACACTACAAATTTAAATAATTTAGTGATAAGTTGATAAAAAAAAATAATTTAGTGATAATACTTTTTTTTATTAAAATTAAAAAATTTTGAATTTAAATCGTATAACATGTAAATATAATAAGTT